ATGATAACCTCAGGCCTCCCCATGAATTTAGCCCCCATGGATGTCACAGGCAGCACCTAACTCAGCTTTGTACCGCCAGCTGCCCAAGGTGGAACAGATGAAGCCACATCGCTGAGTGTACCTATAGGTAACGGATGGCTGCCTCTCAGGAGCTGTGCCAATCTGGCTGGCCCAGCAGGGCGGCCCATGGATGACCTGCCTACCCTGAGCAGGTGGGGGACTGGAGCTCATTGTTAATGAGACTGTGGACCAGGTGATCTGCCTCCTTCCAGAAAGGATCTGAGGCAATTTTTAGAACGTTGTTGGATAAAAACAGCAAGAAATAAAATTTGAAGTACAGGGATAATCACATAGGAAGAAGAATTTAGAACCAAAGGCAAGACTGAGAAGGCAAGGGCTGGAGCTGCCTGTGTCACTGTCTCATTGAAGGGAAGGGTGGCAGTAATGGCGCCGGCCTGCCCTCTAGTGGACACAGACAGAAAAGACACAATCTGTTCAACATTCATTTATGCTGCCCCAATGTGGGAAGAGAGGAGGACTTTCTCTCTGAGAGTCTGTGTCAGAAAGAAGGAACTTCCTGAAGGTCACATAGCATCAGCAGAAGGTCCTGGCTCATTTCAGGATGCCAACATGCCCCAAATCTCCCTCCAATTGGATAAGACTTCAAAAAGCAGGGCCACTCTGGTGGCACCAGGGGTTAAGTGTCAGCACTATGAAGCTATCTGCAACCACTGCAACACCAGTTTGATCTGCTGCATGAGTTTGATCTCCACTGGGGAGCTGACCCATGTGGCACAGCAGATCTCTCCTGCCTCACCTGCTGCTCCCCTCAGCAGTGTATTTCAGTTGTTCTGCCTACTCAGCTTCCCGCTCTGTCTCTGGTGAATCCTCTCATCCCCTCCCCCCACACCTCTGCCTGCACCCCAGCTCTTGTATGTATAAATAAATAAAATATTAAAAAAAAACCTAGGGGCCTCCCTAGTAGCCCAAGGGGTTAAGACACAGCACTATGAAGTTATCCACAGCCACTGTAGCATGAGTTCAATCCCTGGCCAGGCAACTAACCCATGTGATGCTGCAGACCATTCCTGTCTCGCCCACTGCCCCCCTCAGCATTATCTTTCAGTCAATCTGCCTGTTCTGCTCCCCATTCTATCTTTAGTGAATCCTCTCACTCCTCACATCTTGGTCTGCACCCTGGCTCTTGTATGCATACATAAATCTTTTTTTTTTTTAGATTTATTTATTTTTTTCATATAGAACTGGGGTACAGGCCAGAGATGCGGAGGGTGAGAGGATTCACCAGAGACAGAGTGGGGAGAAGAACAGGCAGATCGAGGAAGTACACTGCTGAGGGGAGCAGCGGAGGGGGGGGGGTCAGGAGAGGTCTGCCGCTCCATGTGGATCTCTTCTGGGGCAGGCGGGAATCGAACTCATGTGGAAGTGGCTTTAGCTTCTTAGTGCTGTGCTTTAACCCGCTGGGCCCTCCCTGGTGGCACAACGGGTTAAAGCACAGCAATGAGAAGCTAAAGTCACTTCAGCATGAGTTTGATCCCCGCCTAGAAGTGACCCATATGGCGTGGCAGACCTCTCCTGTCTTCCCACTGCTCCCTTCAGCAGTGTACTTCATCGGTTGGCCTATTCTGCTCCTCACTCTGTCTCTGGTGAGTCCTCTCACCACCTCACACCTCTGGCCTGTATCCCAGTTCTGTGTGCATAAATAAATAAATCTTTAAAAATAAATAAATAAGTTATTAAATAAAAGAAAAACTTTTAAAAAAATTCATGAAGTAGTTAAGGGTGGGGAGGGGTAAGTATGGACCCAGGCTGACTCCCAGTTTGGCCCATTGTTACTTTGTGAAGTTGGAAACATTTATCCATTTCTCAGGGCCTCAGTAAGCTATAAAGTGGGGGTTAAAGTAGTACCCCCTCCTCCAGGATGGTAAGGGTTTCATGAAGTGGTGGATGACCAGCGCTGACAATGGTGTTTGGTTCACGGAAAGGTTTTAAGACTGCCTCCTCTGTCAGGAGGTGACGTTATTGTTGATCATGGAGTATTTGGGGGAAACTCGGTTCTCTCTTCAGGGGTTCTTTTCCACCATTGATTGCTCCACCTTTTGCAGGCCTTTTTCTGGCCCGACAAGCTGCTCACAGTGCATGTGTGGCTGTTTCAGTCCCAATAGCTAGAGTTTGACTGCGAGTGTGACTCAGGCAATGTGTCCAGCTGGATTTAGCGGTGGTGGTGGTGAAGGGGAAAGCTACCTAATAGGCCCCCCTTCCTTGCTCCCCATTTTCTACCTCTCTAAGGTGTAATTATTCAGTCTCTGCCATGAGTATGCCTTCTCTTGCTAGTATTATATGTTTAGCCCTCCTGCCAAGCCAAGCTGTAGGAGAGGAGGCCCAGAGAAATCATCTCTGCTGATTAGGCTGTTTTCTCATTGTTGCTTGGGAACAGTTACGGAACCTCAACTTGTCGGGAGAGTTTAGTAAGTTAATACGTGGGAGAGCCTAACAATCTGGTTCCTGGTAGCTGTTAGTAGTAATACCATCCTTCACAGTTCAGACGGGGTGTCACCTCCTTCAGGAAGCCTTCTGTGACTTTTCTAGGCTCTTAGGTGCTTGAGTCTTCTGTGTATCCCTGGTCCTTCTTGGCTGTTATAATTGTCCCTTTGTCTCTTTGCTATACTCCACATTATCCCCAAGGAGAGATTGTGCCACATCTTGTTCATTCTTGTATTCCCCCATATGGCTGGCTCAGCTAGGAATGACAAAGTTTAGGTGAATAAATGGGAGTCATGAGTTCCTCATCTTTGCCTCTAACATACTATTTAGGTTAGCTCTGGAGTTACAGTTCCCTCTTCTTTCACCCCCAGCCAATAAAGTGGGGATGATGTGTGGCAAACCACAGGTGCTCCCTAAATGTTCCTTGTTGTTTGGCAGTTCCAGATTCAAATGTCTCCGCTGAGGCTAGAGCTTCAGTTCCTGCTCTGGATTCCCTTTGCCCCCAACACATCTCCTGTCAGAGCACCAATCACACTTGTGCCTGCCATTCGGTCACCCTCCCTGGACAGACTGTGGGTTCAGCAAGGGCAGGACCTTAGCCTCACCCATCTACCTGTACCCAATCCAGGGCCACGTTCAGAGTAGGGCTTGGGAAGAACCTGCCTCCCAACGGACACAGAGGCCTGGCTGCTTTGACTGGAGGTTGCATGAGGCTTCCTGCCTCTGCACTACTGTCTCTGGACTGTCTTCTCGTTCCATTCAGCCCATGCAACTCTGTTCTGTTGGACAAGAAGTAGTACAAATGCCACCTTCCCTAGGATGTCCTTTGTGAGCAAACTCATGCTGTTACTCGTGTCTTCTGCAAAATCTTAAATGTCTGACTGCCTATTTCCTGGTTGTACACTAACAATATGTAAGATTTTACCACTGAGGGAAGCTGGTGAAGGGTACATGGAGCTCTGTGTACAATTTTTGTAATTTTCTGTAAGGCTATAACTATTTCACAATAAAACATTTTGTCAAAAGTACTTGGGGGTAAGACTCAGCACTACCGGGTCTGCCTGCGTTTGGTCTCCAGCCCCGGAGCTGGCCCACACACGGTGTGGCAGACCTCTCCTGGCCCGCCCCCTGCTCCCCTCAACAGTGGATTTCAGTAGATCTGCCTGTTCTGCTCCCCACTCTGTCTCTGGTGAATCCTCTCCCCCTCCACTTCCTCTTGCACCTCTGGCCTACACCCAGTCCTTCAACAACACAAGAAATTATAAAATAAAAATGAAAAAATATTTTTAAAAAATTCAGAATGATATATAAAGTGTGGAAGGAGAGTGGTTGTCTCAGCTCTGTGAAAAATACAGTCTCTGCCCAAAAAGGGGGCACAGGAAGTAGGGGAAGTACTGTGATAGGGTATTGGCACTGGAACTTCCATGGAGGGCAAGTGTGCACATGTGGAAGGGTGAAGCTGTACTTCCAAAGTTATGTAGTTCTATAAATGGGAAATCAGTAAAGTTTGAGATGGGGAATGTGGTTTAAAAGAATTGATGTCTAAAGAGGGTGGGATTGCAGATGGTTAACTTCATATTTCCATTTCTCTACCCTACAAATATTACTTGCCCTCTAAAACATTTTTTAAACTTATTTTAGTTATGCATATAAGAACTGGGGTGTAGGCCAGAGGTAGAGGGGTGGGGTGAGAGGATTCATCAGAGGCAGAATGGGGAGCAGAACAGGCAGATCCACTGAAATCCACTGCTGAGGGGAGCAGCAGGGAGACAGGAGAGGTCTGCCACACCATGTGGGTCACCCCCCTGGCTGGGGATCGAACTGTTACAGGGGCCGGCAATAGACCGACAGCTAGATAGCTGTGAGACTTAACCGCTGTGCCACCATGAGGTCCCCTGGAAACATTATTAAAGAGTAATAATGAAGTAATATCTTAAGGAGGACGATCAGATTATTTAGGAGCAAGTAAATAGTACCTGAGCGGGGAGTGAGTTGGTTATTACAGCAGGTAAGGGCCTGGCAGCAAAGGGGAAGTGGGGCATTTTGAAGTTCTCCTTCGTCTGAACGTGGCGTTTTCAAGGACTAAATAATTCGACTTTGACTCTTCAATTCATAAAGCAGTAGTAACAACGAGCAAATACTACCCTGCTCAGAACCACAGTCCCCCTCATCCAGTACCACGGAAGAAAGTACTGAACCTCAAGGTTTCTCTCCATTCATGTTAAATTAGCGATTGGCTGGGTAGGTTTTTTATTTTTCCTCCCCGTTCCCCCTCAGCTGAGTAATTTTGTTAAGCCTTTCACGAGAGGCAGAGGCGCCGCCGCGCCGCGGCTAGTGGGAGGGGTTAATTCAGGTCGGCCCCACCCCCTCCTAGCCCCGCCTCTCAGCCACTCCGCCCCGCCCGGGTTGCACCCTTGACCCCGCCCCCAGGTCGTGCGTGTACCGGAAGTGCCCGCGCGCGGGCAGCTCACTTCCGCCCGGCAGGTGACAGCCGCGGGGCTCGGAGCGGCGGGCGGCACGGACGCACCGGGACAGCTGGAGGCGGAGGCCGCGGACATTTTGCTGCCCAGCCGAGCCGTGGCGCCGGGAGCCGAGACGACCTGTGGGTGAGGAAGCGGAGAACCCGGAGAGGCTGGAGAAGAAGTGGGGTAGTGAGTAGGGGGTCTGAGGTGAAAGGGGTTGAGAGGTCAGAGGTCACGGGGAGGACGGGGTCCTAGAGGGGCGCAAGTAGCTTCCCAGGCCTGGGTGAGGCGGAAGTGTTGAGGGTTCATTCATTCACGCCCGCTTGGCCGCCGGCTCGCACCCCAGAGGTCCCAGGTCTGCAGCCCTTCTTGGGCGGCGTCCTGGAGATCGGAGACTTGGACCCCCAGGAGCCCGCCCCGGGCAGAGGGGAAACTCCCCTTCGGCCTCTGGTTTTCCGTTCACACTGAACTCCGACGAGGCCTCCTTGTCCTTCAGGGCCTTATCTCTTTGCCAAGGTTCGAAAAGGAAAAAAAAAAAAAAATCAAGAAATGGCCCCGCGCCGCCTGCTGCTGGGTAGGCTTGGGCTTGGTCTGTCCGTTGGCGCCTCACGAACTAGTTAACTGAATAAGGACACCTGGAATGATGCTGACTGCTGCCGAAAATCCCACTGTTGTTTGTTGCGTTCCTACTGTGCACCAGACGCATTAATTACAATACCACGTTTAAACTTCACAGCAGCCCTTGTGAGGTAGCTACTGTTGTTCCCATTTTTTCAAGGAAGAAACAGGCTCAGAGAGGCAGAGCCAGGGTTCCAAATGCAGTCTTTCCAGGACTGGAGGGACAAGTGAGAGGCTGGAGCAAGATTGGAGGTGCGGGGCTATTTAATACCTCTAGGTAAAGAAGGGACCTTCTTGCTTCTCTAATCTTCTTAAGCGGCATTTGATTCACTTTCTTTAGGATGAAACAATCCTGCAGGCTGTTAAGTGATTGACTTTCCAGGGCAAGAGCAGAAGCCTTTTCCCACTGTTGGGAACTGCCAGATACAAAATCATGACGCTAATTTAAGAATATCCAGAACCTCTCCTGAGAGTTCCTTTTGGAGTAAAGTGAGGAACCTATCCCCCTCTTCCCCACCCCCAATCTATTGGCTCTAAGTTCTTGAAGAAAGAAGGGTCTGTGCCTCTTGGAGAAATGTTCAGAGGCCATAAGGAATTGTTGGGTAGAGTACATCATGCCTGGGAGATGGTGAGGTGGTTTGATGGTCAGAGGAGTAGGACTGGCTTTGGAGTCAAGCTGTATTCATTTACTTGCTCCAGTTCTGCCTCAATTTCCCTGCTAGCAACACATGGAAGACCTGCTGCCCTTCTATCCACTCCTGAGTGGATAGAAATACTCCTCAGTGTTAGACACCGTAATGAACTCATTAATTATTGAACATACTTCTGAAGAAAGCTGTAAGTATTACTGTAGTACCTTTTTCTAGTTTTTATACTCTAGGATCTGTTCTACTTCCATTGGAGTAACAGAAACTTAATATTGTCACCTTATCCCCCACCCTTCCTAGGGAAGATTTGAGATGAAGTGACTTGTCACAGATGGTAGCAATATGAACAGAGCTCAGAGCATTCATGCCATGGCTCCTCGGACCTCTTAGAAACTGCCTTGAAGAGAACTTAACAGGTTCTCAATGAACCAGACCCTCAGGGATTGTATAATGATTTTCTGTTAATTGGGAGGTAAGCAGAGGCTTAATCCTGAATGACTTGAGGGAGTCTGTGGTAAGATGGAAAAAGCACCCCTAATTCTATCAGTCCTGGGTTTCCAACCCAGCTCAGCAGCTTCCTGGTAGTATGACCTGGACAACTCCCCTAACTTGGCCTCCCTTCCTCAGCCCTAAAATCATGACACCACCTTCCACGCCCTGCATCCTCCCAGTATCGTGCATGTGCAAGATAGATGAGAGAGTGTGGGTCCTCGGCCAGTTGGTACCTGTTGGGGGCCTGTGTCTGAGGGAGGCCTCCAACCTGGTGAGGTGTTACTTTCTTCTGCAAACAGACCTTTATATAAATAAGAACAACTCCCACTCTTCTTGTTTCACTTCCTAAAAGTGTTTCAAAACAAGTTCAGCCCATTCGTCCAGCTTCCATCTTTCTTTTTCTCATCATCCTCTGAAATGTCATATGTCCTGACTGCTCAGAACTGGCTCTTGACTGCTTGATTTCTCAGAAAACCTCTATGCTTGGCACCAAAACCTGACTGTGAGTAAACATAATTTGGGAATGGGTTTAACGCTTTGGTGTATTTTTGAAAGCTGAGGAGTATTTTTTTTTTTAAAGATAATGTTTTTCTGAACAGGTCTTTTTGTCTAAAGGTCACTAATAAATTATCACAGTGCAGAAATGGGCTTTGTGTTCTTTTTCTCTACACATAGAGGGAATATCTCTTTGCAAGCTCTTGGGAATGGCTTAAAGAAAATAAGTCCTGTTCGATATCCATCAGTGGTTCCTCATTGTTCTAAGGCTGAAGCCTACTTTCCTTAACATGGCATTCAAGACCTTTTGGGCTCTGAACCTTGTTTGACTCTTCTGCCTCACCTCTCCTCGTTTACATTTCCACTTTCAAACTTAGCTGCTTTTCTGCAAAGCCCCAAGTCTTTATTCCTGTGTCTTTGTTTTGTGCTATTTCCACTGCCTGTATACCATTTTCTCTCACACACATATCCCCCCACTCCCCAGCTGCTCTGCTGGATCACCAAGTGGGACCTCCCATCTGATCACCCCACACCTGTGCAGGCGTGAACTAGATGCCCCTCCTTGATGTCTTGTGGCACTGATCATAGACGGTTGTCATTGTCTCTTTACCTGGCTGCCTCCTAAGTAAAGATCCTTGGAGAGCACTTGTCTTAACTATGTCACTAGCACTTAGTGGAATGTCTGACACAGTAGTGTTCAGTAAATGTTTGGAGACTGATTTAATATTGCACTGAATTGTCAACTCCCAAGGAGTTCAAAGCACTTTCCAGATCTGTCCATCTTCCTATCACCCCAGAGGTATTGGGAGAATCCCAGTGGTGGAATTACTCTCAAACTGTTATTGATACCACCCAACCTGACACTAGAGTGCATCAGAACCTCCAAAGACCTGGGAGTTGGGGAGCAGCTGCGTCCCTTGTGCAGTGGTAATAGTGGTTGATTGTTTAGCAAGCACTTGTAGCCTGGGCATTGCTGAGAGCTTATGTATTGACTCGTTTTAGCCTCACAGATCCCTCATGTGTGTAAAATTGTTATTTTTCCAATTGTGTTAACATCAGTCCTGTGAGAGTCCTTGTAATACTTACTGGGGCCTCCTTTCCTTTCCAAACTCTGTTGATGGATTGTCTCCTGTTATTTTATGGAGCTGAAAAGGGGTTTGACTGTGGGTCTCAGCTCCTGAGACTCGTGCTTTTTGGTTCTTTCTTTAGCCTCTGGTTTGACCTCTTGTCCCCACTAAGAGGGTCTCTCTGAAGGTGAAAGGGCTCTTCTACTTAAGGTCAGAGTATGACTAGGTGACTTCAGAATGCCCAGAGTTCTTTATCAACAGGATGCATTAGTCACTGATCTGCTGATTTCCCAGGTTATTGTCTCCTCTGTGGACTCTGAACTTGAAGATGTTGAATCTCAGAAACTTTATTTTATTTTTTTTTAGAAAAAGAAGGAATAGGGGTCCTCACATCCTATTCCTCATATTCATTCCCTGTACAGGAGGGAGAATATTGTGGGGAAGGATTAGGGTATAGGTCAGAGTCGTGGGGGGTGAAAGAATTCACCAGAGACAGCGAAGAGAACAGAAAGGGCAGATTTATTGAAATACACTGCTAAATGAAGAGGTCTGCTGTGCTAGTCAGATCTCAAAAAATTTAAAATCAACCTTTAAGTATTGTTTTCCACACTTAAAAGTTTTCTTACAGCTGAGCTCTGTAGAGGAATAGACTGCAAATAGGGTAGCAAATACTTTTTATCACACTGTAAATTGCTTTTAGGGTCTTTATCTTAAGAGAATGGAATGACAAAAGTTTCATTGCAGCCAGCTGTTAAATTTGCTTCTGGGTCTTCACTCTCTGCTCTCTAAGGCTTAGGTGACTCGGTGTTGAACACCAGGATGACAACTTTGTAGGTCCAGCATTCATTCATCCAGTATTTATTGAGCTCTGCTATTTGCCTATCACTGGGCTAAGTGTGGTGATAGTAAATAAGCCAGACATAGTTTCTGCCCTTGGGTTGCTCAGTCTGTTCTAGTGGTGAAGAGAGACAAAGAAGAAATAGAAGAGTACAATTAGTAGAAAAACTGGTAAGCCATGAGGGAAATGGGCAAAGCAGCCAGACCCTGTTAAAATGAAAAGCAGCCTCAGTACTCCTCGCACAGCCTTCAGCTGCTCCCTAGCTGACTAAGAAGCAGAGTCCTCTCCTTGACCTGGGAGATTGTCTTCACTCTCCTCTGACCTCTTAAGACTCTTCCCCCCGCTCTTCCAGGCCCTTGCTCATTCTCACATCTCCTCCCTGCTGTTCCTCAAGTAGGCCAGGCTTGCTTCCTCAGACATTGCCACCTGTCATTTTCTCAAGGAGGTTTTCTGTGGCCTCCCTGGTTAAATTTCAACCTTGTGCGTGTTCCTCCCCCCCCCCCCCCCCATCCTCTCTCTCCTCCTTTCCTGCTCTTTTACTACATGGCATTTATTGGTAGATCTAAAATAATACATATTTTCATTATTTTTCTTATTTATCTTCCCTTTCCTCGATTAGACCATAACATCCATGAAGGGAAGAATTTTTGTCAGTTCTATTCACTGCTGAAACTCAGCATGTATATCTGGTCCTGTGGAAAGGGCTCAGTGACTTGTGAATAGGAATACTGGGGGCTGGGAATAGAAAAAGACCTACTTAAGGTAGTGAGTACAGGGCAGGTTATCTTTGAAGTGATGTTGTCTAAGCTAAGATTTGAAGGATACCTGGGAGCAGCCATGCTCAAAGGTTCAGGGGATCCTCCTGGCAGATCATAAATGTAAAAGGAAGTGAAAAGCTGGGTAATTGCAGGAGCACAGAAGCAGCCCTGTGGCTAGAGGGCTGTAGCCAGACGCTTCACATCATAGCCTGTGTCAGACCCCCTCTCCAGCCCATCACACCTCTTCCCACAGTTTCCGTCATGGATGCCTGGG